TTATTTTAAATGTCTAAATTTAAATAGAGAAAACCTCGGCAGATAGTTCCTTCCATAATCTAAGTGTACGCAGGAGGAAGCTGCGTGTGGGGGTGAATTCCCTGCGCTCTAAGTTCATAAAAATAAAAATATTTTTGAATAAACTGGTTGACATGAATTATGACTAGATATTACCGTATTATTGAATATAATATTTAATAATAGTGGTCATATCTAGGTTTAAATCTGATCTATATGCCTAAGAGTAACATAACACTGTCGCAGATAAAAAATATTACTAATACCATAGATAACATAACATGTAATACTAATGTGACCTTATAATACTGACATCGCATTGAAGACTCTACAGATACCATAAAAAGTTGTGAGACCAGAATCATTTAAAACAAAGTACTATAATTTTCAAACACTTAGTTGAATTATTAACTCTAATAATTTTATATATTCTCAATAAAAAATATTCTATGAGTCATTATTACACACCTTTTAGAACAATAAAAAAATTACTAAATTAGCTGTTACGGCGTGCTTATGTCTGCCGTATTAGATCAAAGATAGTCTATGTTCACAACATCTTCGTGATACAATTTATATTAACATCAAACATCATTAAGATCCGTTCACCGTTTCAGTCGTGTTAAGGTAGCAATCAAACAGACAGACGTACTTTCATATTTAGTATATTATAAAATACAATCCATATATGAATATCTATAGGTGTAATCTATACTAATATTATATATGCGAAGTAACTCTAGACAGACAGACTGTCTGTCTCGCTTTCACGTCAAAACTACTGAACCAATTTAAATGAAATTTGGTACACAGAATCTAAACCCTGAGAAAGGACATGGGCTACTTTTTAATGCGAAAAATGGTTGTAAGAAGTTGAAAGGTGACATGAAAGATTGTATGGAAGTATCGTCAGTTTAAAGCTATAAACTTGAAACTTATTTTTTAAGCTATTGATTAAATATAAATAAATATTATATTCGAAGTTTGTTAAGATGTTACTTTTAAGGTTTGACAGTTTGTATGGAAATTCGTCCTTTTTGAAGCTAGACTGATGAAACTTTTTCTTTGGCTTTTTATTCAATAAACCAATTGAATATTTTTACTTTATTTGATCAAAGTAATACAAGAATGAAGTCGCGGGCGCATATAGTAAAGAATATATATAAAAATTATTGATGTTTATACTTTCGACATCCATAAATAACAAACAAATTTAATTGAAGTAGTGGTTTCGAAGAAATAGAAATGTAGTTACATTCACTAGTAATAGACATAGGTGGGTACCTACTATTCAAATTATGTACAAATATAGCATCGACTTATGCATCGACCGGCATGCAACACTAATTACATTACGCAAGTACAGGCAGATGCTGCGTCTCGTACATACCAGGAGCAGGCACAAGGCCGGGGCGATGCCCTGCACTTACTGCCCGTAGGGCTACCACGAACGTCTTTTTGGACTATTCTAATAGGTACTTAAAAGGTAAAAGGATGGAGGATATTGAGAAATGGAGGAACTGGTAGCTACTCTAGCAATATACCAAATCAGATTAACCTCTACAGCGTCCTAAGTCGACGCGTGGAGAGGTTTCAAGGAACCCTAGGAACCATTCTGGACAATTTCTGGTAACTTCCTTATGAATTATTAAATACTAGGTTGATGATAATGTTACAAAGCCTGCCTTTATTATCCGGCTCGAAGGACCACTAAATGTATGTATTTGCCGGTTCTTTTTACTATATTTTATATTATTACGGATAAAAATCAAACACTGTTGTCTGTTGACATATATGAATTTATTTCAATTGTTTTTATAATGTTTATAAATATTTTTATATAAAAAAGGTTTTAAACAGGCTGTACAATATTTTAATTATTCATTCTACATTATGCGTACATTATATATGTAATTTATAATTAGACCCCTGAAGCCATTCCTATTAAATATACAGACAGATTAATAAAATATTAATTTTATCAACCACCGGTGATTTGTAAACCATTGCTTGCGTTATCTTGATGTAGGTATATAAGTATAATATGATATGCAACTAAGGTTGGTAGATATGTTTTTCTATTAAAACTATTATACACGTATGACGTTTATTACTTGTGTGTATGTTTGATATATTACTATTATTATTATATATGTTTCTTTCATTCCATTCACGGGCCAATCACCACACACCTGTTTTCTCTCCTCTACCCAAAAGTTGTCTGGAAGAGTTCGCTCAACTGATAATAAGACAACCTATTAAGGGTACAATAAAGAGTAATAAATAAAAAAAAATGGTGATGATAAAAAAAAATTGTAAACATAAACATATAAAGTAACATAACATGTTATCATATTATATTAAGTTAAATTGATACGTTTATAGTGATTACGAAGGGCTGAATATCGATAAAATACCTACTTGACTATATCTGGAAATGTTATCGATATCAAAAGGTATGTTTTATGTTTACTACCTCGATATATAATTGAACAGATTAGAATACTGACTTTACTAGAGGTGGACTGTAACAAGTTGGCAGTGTGGGTACCTCAATCTCACCTATTTATTTTTTATACAACGTAGGTGGCAAACAAGCCTATTTTAGCCAACAGAATGATACTGACAATGACTCATTTTAGAGTCCAATTAGGCTGTGAAATCATAATGTGAGTATAAGAAGAATGTATATCGTAAATATATATTCGTCCTCGGGAATAGCAACGCATGAGTGGTCTCACGATAACATGACATATCTGTAGTCTCCTTTCCAGTTTCTACACCAGAAAAACTAAAATTCCTTGGTGTTTTGGATATACTTTCTGTCTCCATTGCGTGTCTCTGATATATAAGGCTGGCATAAATGGTCGTAAAAATAACAACCGACTGCTATAGAAGAAAATACAAGAAGAATGTCTGTAGTGCTGTTCATGTATATAGGCGATGGTTACTGCTTACCCTCAGTATAGCCGTCACCTCGTTTGCCATTCCAAATACATATATTTTTTTAATAAATTGTGTCTCTATTAACATCGTATACTTTTTACCTAATTCACGCAACATAAGTTGAATTTAATTAATATAATATTGAAATACATGTGTAACCCTGTAGTTTTTAAATTATTTACGTCTTTGGTGTAATTAAGGACTAATTGCCTACCAGTATAGTACAAAGACGTCAGATAAAATAACTGCCTCATTAATAAAAAGCGGTATATCCTTACATTTCTTATTTTAAGTTTTTTATCGTACCGTAACAGCAAAATGATGAAGAAGCCATGCCTCCTATATGTAAATAACATAATCTTTTATTCAATAAGATTTATCATTCTCAATGTAAACATATTAAAAAATGTAACTGATTTATGTTCTACATGACAGATATATGAATAAAACTCTTATTAGGGCATTTTATTAGCAAAAATTGTTACAACTTTTGTCTGTTTGTCTATACATTTGTGCGCGCTAATTTGAGTAACGGTTTAACCGGTTATTGTGTAATTTTCACTATCATCCATCCGGGTGATTTCCATTATCATCCATAAAAACCTTCATCTAATAATTCAAGTATTAGGATTAGATGAAGGTTTTTTATGGATGATAATGGAAATCACCCGCCTGTGCTAACGGTTTCCGCACCAGTGGAGGATGATAAGACGAGCATGAGGTCAAGGCATTTAATTTAGCCATACGTGGTAAATTCACTATGATTTCCAGGGGGACCACGTGGCACAAGGTCAACATGACACAGTACATTGCTAGCTATGGTTATTGGTTCATATTAAGTAGTAACAATCCCCTTCCCCGCTAAGATAAAGATTAAATTTTTATGTATTTTTTATTGCAATCACACTGATTTCATTAAAACAAATATTATTCTTAATTCTTTAATAAACATCCAAAAATATATCTACTCGTAGGAACACACGAAAAATATACACAAGTAATCGAATTATAGTCGAAAAATAGAGTATAGTCGAATTGACATTGAAAATCTCTTCCTTTTAGAACTGGGTATATTTTTTACCATACCACTACAAATAAAATAATTATTTAATTAAGTAATATACATAAAAGACAATAGGTTAATTAGAATAGCTAATTATATAATTTAAAATGTATGTTATTTAAATTATGGGCATCTCACGTAGCAGGCTTTAACGGTGTTTCGTAATCAATGTTAATGAACCGCGTTCAAATGTGTATTTATATTAATGTAAGGTACAAACGCCCATGTAATCTTATATAGAAATTATAAAGATCTATATGTAGGACATATAGGACATTGTGGAATCGCCTTCCAGCTGTGGTATTTCCGAATCGATACGATATTGAAACCTTCAAGAAAAAAGCTATTCTTTCTTAAAAGGCCGACAACACATGTGCAATTCCCATGGTGTTGCGGGTGCTTATGAGCGGTTGTAATCCCTTACCATCAGGTGAGCCGCATGCTCGTTTGGAATAGCAATATATACGAGCAAGCTGACGGTCCACCTTATGGTAAACGGTAACCGTGGTCAATACATGAACAGCATCACTGCCATCACATTATTTATTTATTTAGAATTATAAACGGGTTTAATACAATACTTATAACTAGTTTAAATTAACTAAGTGTTGAAATATGTAGGTTTATACATTAAATAAATAAAATAATATATTATGTACTTATATTACGATTGAAAATATAATCGTGTGACACACAAGATACAGCGTTACCATTCCAGAGCACTGCGAAGTGTTGCTTATTAACCTGTAGTTTCACTACCTAATCTCTACTTATATACATCCGAAATTTCGATTACAAAGCATCTTTCTTTCTTGCATTCGGTTATTGTTTATAAAATAGGTGTACCCATACATAGACGAATTACAAAGTCTACTTTGGTAGATATCCTTAATTTTATTAAAATAGATATAAGATATATTTTGTTGTTTGTTTTATAAGATTTTGAGTAACGCTTCATACATTTTGTCCACAGGTACAAAATGATTCAAAACCTCTTTTTTCTGTGCCTTGCGTGCGTGGCACATGCGGCCGCTAGCAGTGACGACAGATTCATCAAGAAATATGCCATGATGAAGGTAAAATGATTTTAATAATTAAATAAGTAGAAAAAAGAATTACGCAATCTTCTGATCATTGTTGCCGCAGAACTTAAACAATATTATCATCTTAGTTTACCTTGAATTTTCCTCATATAAGAAAATCAGATCCTACGTAACTTAATATTTCTCTATGGTGCAAATGAAACGAAAATAACAACAAAAAAAAGTTCGCAGTCGGTAGGATTCGAACCTACGCTCCCAGAGGGAATCTGATTTCTAGTCAGACGCCTTAACCGCTCGGCCACGACTGCCGACAGAGGGTTTTACGAAAATTACTTTGACATACAATAAAGCAACAGTGAAATTTATTATAAACGAATGACATTCGTTTTAAAAGGTGCACAAATATAACATACTTCAAATTCAGCAATTTGTTATAACAAATATACAATAATTCTATATTTATTTTACTTATTTAATATAATTTAAACTTCTAAAATATATACTGGAATAATATAACCTATATTGTAATTACTATATTTTTCCAAAAACGTATACAGCAAAGTATTATGAATACTTTATTTCATAACAAATTTATTGTTTAATGTGTTTATTCCTTCATTCATTCGTCTCATTAGCAAGTAATTTTTTGTTTCTAAGATAAAAATGAGGTTAGGTACCTTTAGAAATTAATTTCAATTCTTCTCCAATAACATTTCAATCGAAAGATATTTTGTTGTTTACTTTAACCACAAATACGATAAAAAGAACAGAAGAAAACATATAGTAATTATATTAAATACTGTATCAAACAAAAATATTACTCTTGATGCCAAGTCACGAAATCGGTTATAAAAATTTGCTTACGAATTAATTATTAACGCAATATTATTCTAGTAATTTTATCTAAAACTAATACAAGAAAAACAAATCATTATTAATTTTATCTTTAATTTACAGATATATGAAAGTTGTTTTGGTCCCGAAGTTGTCAAACAGATTCGTAACGAAATGAAGGACGCCTATGCTAAATGCTCAGCGCCGCCATCTTTTGACGAACCGCCAAACCCGCCACCACCTATTTTCCTCGGCAAACTGCCACCCGGTTTCTCTATGGACCCAAACTCACAAACCATCACTAAGCCGACAGATGGCGCTCTACATAGTTCTGGAAATGATAATATTCTAGATCAAGGACAACAACAACAAGGCCAGCCCCTAAAATCTGCCTCCGGAAGTGGGAACATTTTCGGATTTAGACCGCATGGGGTAAGTATTTATTTTTGGAAAATCAACTTACATACATGAACCGCCTAGCACTTTTAATACTGGTCTGTACCAAGAGATGGCGCTACTAGCGAAATTACATTTAACTGCACTTTAGATAAATAATTTAAAAATTGAAGTAATTTAATTTTCATACAAATCATTAATCACTTCAATTATTAACATAATCGCAATAACAAATAAAAATTATATATTACATTTGGCAATAAAATTTTACTTTTAAATCTTAGAATTTTTAAAAAAATGTTATAAAATAAAACAAATCTTTTTTAACATTTTAAAGTATGTCTAAATTACTGAAAAAAGTAACAAAAAATTATTTTAATAGATGCCTCCTGTGAGGATTGAACTCACGACCCCTGGTTTACGAGACCAGTGCTCTACCACTGAGCTAAAGAGGCGATAAACATTATATCGAAATATACGTTCACTTTATTACTAACATGTTAAAGCAAAAAAATTTATAATTTTTTTAAAGTTTTGTATTTTACTATTTTTCCTTACTTATAATATAAATTCTTGTAACCTAATAAAATAATCAGTAGATATAGCACAAAGTAAATAGTAATATATGCCTATATATTTTTTTACATAGGTACCTACTACGTGCTTTTAATTAGTGTACATGTTAATGTTTATACCTATATATTTAGAAACGCAGAAGAAAGTCGTCTGCGTGTCTCTTACCTATTTCTACCGCGAAACAGTTTACTATGTAAGCTATGTTTAAGGTTTTAAGGCTGATAAGTTTTATTGAAATTACAATGTCCGGAAGCATGACACCTTAGTCCATGGAAGTTCAGGAATGACCTGTTAACATAGTGTAAGATATATTAGAAGTACATAATACCTACTATACAAGTTTACCAGCGATATCATCATCTTCACACAAAGTTCAGTATATCTATGTTTTGAGTATCTAATACACATTCGTTCCATAAAAAAATGTAAATTAAGTTAAATTATATCTATTTCTATTACATTGTTATTATTACTATACAATTAATTATAAATAAATAGTAATTAAAGTACCTAGTAGTAATATGTCTGTACAATTTATACAGCGCCATCTAGTCTCAGTCTAAGCATAGCTTGTGTTATGGGTACTAGACAACCCCTATATACTTAGATATATTTCTTTTGTTAATACATACATAACACACATAGAAAACACCCAGAGCAATACAAACAAGCATACCCATGAATACAAATTTTTGTATCGAGCGAGGAATCGAACTCGCGAACATCGAATGTAAAGCAGTGTGCTAAATAGCTACACTACAGAGGCCATCAAAATTAGGTGCAATTACAACGTGGATGTTATTGAAATGATTATATTTATTCAATACGAACAGCAACCATCTCTGCCGCCGTACATGATGCCAATGAATCCACAATTCCGGCCGTTCAGCCCCGCCACACCGTTCTACCAGTTCCCGTACAGCGCTCCAGGGTTCTACCCGCCAGGACCACAGTACAACCCATACGCGTACCAGCAATACCAGCAGCAAGGGTATTACCAACAACCTTACTTCGGGTCCAATAGAATGTCGGTGAGTTATATGTTTAATCATTCGTTCTTTGATTCACTCATTCATTCACTATCGTGATTTAGGTAATAGACTATAAAGACTGATACGATTTTGTCCGTCCGTCTGTCATAATTTTATGTTTTACTAGCTACCCGCCCCGGCTTTGGCGAGTGGTACATGTATTATACATATAAACGTTGTTCTTAAATCAATCTTTAAAAAAAGCCGCTTCAAAATCCGTTGCGTTGTTTTAAAGATTTAGGTATACATAGAGACAGACAGCGACAGTGACTTTGTTTTATACTACATAATGTTTAACAGCTAATAATATCGATTTAAAATTCTGAATAAGGTGCTATTAAATGCTGTTGCTTCAATTAGATATAATAAAAGAAATACTACTTTAGTAATAATGATAAATTTTTGATTTGTATTTATTAAAAATATTTCAAGATCTAGTTATGTTATCGAAAACCTCGGTATTTAGTCTTAAACTAAAAATATTGCTCTTGGAAACTATTTCTTGTTTCTTACCGACTCTGAAAAAGGAGGATATCTCAATTATTTTTAGTTAGTTTTTTTTTTAAATAGATACTAGAATTTTCTGCGCGAATAAAGATTTTGAATTAGCTTTTCAATTTGGAACTCCGGCGTATGAGTCACTTGACCGGTTTTTTATGTATAAAAGGTATCTTACGTACTTTACAGCTCCAAGTACAAAACGAAATTACAATTGAAACGTGTCAAAACAAAAATAAAAATGTACGAACAAAGCCGCGGTATATATCTAGTAATTGTTTTTGAAACATTAAATTTACATAGAAATCGGAACTCGCAAGCGTCCGAACGGTCTGACATTTTATAGCTGTAGAAAAGTTATAAAAAGAATGATTGTTCAAGTGTTTTTATATATAATATGTTACGTGGGTCTTCAATAGCCACCGTGTATTGTCTCATTATATTTAATAATGTATTTTTATGTGTTTACATTCTGTGGAGGTTAACGTAAGACATGTCACGCTCGTGATGAATGTTTTAAATTTTCCATTACATCAGGAATAAATATTTCTCTGTTTATTTTATACGGCGTGCATAATTACACGTCGTTGTTCTATACAAATTATAATTTCGTAATCTAAAACGTATTTAAGTATCTGGGCGAATACAATTTGTTTTTATTTACATTTTATTGAAATATTTTAATGCTGTTAGACGATTGTCTTTACAACTTCACTGAAAGAAAATGAGAACTAATCCAGAGGGCGAGCGAAATCCTCGGAAGGACTTATGGATTAGCTGTAAACTTACTACAGTTCGAAGGATAGCTACGACTTTAATTTGAGAGTGCCGCTGAGGGATTAAAACCTCTGCTCAGGGTCGTGTACTTTCGATTGTCGCTAAATCGATCGTTTAGAAAATTAATAAACTTATTAATTATTACATATATAGGAAACGCCACTACACATCCTATGTGGTTGCAGCCCATTTATGCATAAACGAAATATTTCCTTTGTAAAATTTACACCTGAGGAAATGACAACCATCGAAAACCATCGCTCCTAAGAATATCCTTCAATTCTTGTCCCTGACGTAGACCGTCAACTAACTGGTGGGTAACTCTGAAGAAAGAGCGAGCACAATTGATCTATGAAGGTCGCGATTTATATTTTTTACTATAGTTATATTTTAACAGAAAAAATCAAAAACTTGGAAAGTATAATGTATTTAATCATTTAGATTGTCCTCCAAATCGTTGAATTTGTTATTTTATGTTCTCACTAAAATATACATTTAAAATATGTATATACATTACGAGCTAATACGCTCTTTTACTTAGTTATGTGTTTATGAACAGTTTTTCAGAACATAATCTATTCATGTGCCATAATTTGCTCTATAGTATGTACTTCAGCCATTCATATATTTTGTAATTTAAACTGAAATAATTGTACTCCTAAATACGAGTATCTGTTCTTCTCTTATCACTAGAACTAAGATCTGCATATTTGTATATGAACAATAAATATTATATAATTATAATATAACTCTAGATTCCAAAAATAAATAAGATAAGGACATAAATATGAATCAATCAATCTAATAATTTATGTACAGAACAGAGTGTTTATAAATTATTATTTAATTTAATTCATTTTAGCGCGATTTGGGTCTTCGTGATCGATTGGATATGATCTCCCGTGGACCTTCTGGCGGACGCGTGAAAAACATCACATGCGTGATGCAGGAACTTGGCTACATCGACCACACCCTTGAGCCGAACTATGAGCAGATCACGCAAAGGATCGCCAACCTTCCGGTGTCCAGTGAACTCAAGGGCGACATACAAGACGGGCTACAGTTCTGTCAGAAGTTTTCGGTGAGCTCATTTAATATGCCCACTGTGATTATTTTTAGTGTTTAGCGGAATTAAATAATATAAATTCATTATATTATTTAATTCCGCTGCAATTAGCATATGTGAGATCACAAATATTATAGTGCGAAAACTTGACTACCGTTATGAGGTTCTCTAATGGTTATTGAATCTACACCCGTATTGCGACACGTGTTTCGCCTCTGAACGAGGCATCACCAAGCATTGCATAGAGTTCGAATACAGCTTGGAAGCCTAGTATTGACTGTTCGGCGACCAAACCGCGCCACTGTAATTGTTTTTTAAAAATTAAATAAGAATTCGTCTACCTCAGTCTCACCTATTTCAAATCTCACCTATTTGTAAACTGTGTTTTGGTTGTAAGGTTAGATTAACATTCTCTGGGGTACATTAAAGTACGCAGGCAATATGTCGCACACAACACATTGTTATCAACCTATGACTCAGGAAACCCAATTAATGATTCATCTACAGTTGAGCACAGTCTTATATACCCAAGCATGGTTATGTATAGGAAATCATTGTTTCTGTATTTGGTTTCAGCAATGCGTACCAGACGTGAAGCGTGATGTGGCGCCTCTCTCGCAGGAGCTCATCAAGCCCATGTTTTTCTTCCGATGTTACAAGGTAAGTTCCCAATCCCCTTTCCTTTCAAGATATTAGACTATCCTAATTTTTTTATCTCACGTCTTTTGTCCTCTATTGTATCCTAAAATACTACATATATATATTCGTAAAGGAGACTAGAAAAGGTCAGGTCGACTTTGAAAAGTCAGAAGTCTTATATTTTCGTTTTATGGAGCTAGACTGCACAAAGTCACCTACGTGGCAACTGTATTTCATCAAGTGACTTCCTTTATAAACTGTGTTTTCGTTGATGAGAGAATTAAATCAGTGAATTTACAGGATACAAAGGTATAGAAATAGATCTACATTCAAATAAACTTAAAATAAGAACTTTTGAATAATTATACAATATTTTTTTATTCTACCGCTCATTCAATAAGAACGCGCAAAGTACTTGCATGTTGCTAATTTAAATAAATGTTGTTCAGCATTACATATTTAAGATTTTGTGCGAATACAAAATGAATGAGTGAAGTAAGAATGATACCTCACCCCTCTGGAATGACGTTTGAGACATATGACGACTTTATGTCCCTGTTGCTGTTTATATAGGTAACTTGAATTCAGGTGCATATTGATCGTTCCGGTTAAAACCCTGATTGTATAAAATGTAAACTTTATTAATGTATTTTGTCGGATATTAAATCGAATAAATAAAGTATTACTAACAAACTCTAGCAAAAATGTTGATCTATGAAACGTGCCCTATGTTTACAGCACAAGAAGCTGGAAGCTTGTATAATGAAGGACATCCGGGAGCGTTTCACCAGTGAGGACGAGTTGGATACTGATACTGACTTCAGGTAATTTACACCATAATGTGGACAGCATGACGGCCTCGGTAGTCTAGCGGTTTAGCACACCGCATTACTTCCGATAGTCGCGGGTTCGATTCCTGGCTGAATATTTGTATCCATGATGAGTTTTCTTTTATTATAAATACATATATATATTATGTTTGTATTTACAAATAAAGTATCTATCTATTTATATCAGTTGTCTAGTCAGTTAGTCGTATCAGTTTATAACACAAGATCTTAGCTTGGGACTAGATGGCGCTGTTATATACTGTTTTCATTGATCATATGCCACATGCACGAGGTCACGGTATTAGGTAATATAAAATAGAATTTATACCCATTAAGTCCGCCAAAACAATTTAAAATAGTGAAACCTTTGACTTTGATTTGAATATTTTTTCAAATAAAACATCAAGTCTGAAAAACCTCAGAACAAGAACAATGGAATAAAATAAAAAAAAAATGACTGTCTGTCAATTTTGTGACACGTTTTTATTCAGTCGGCTCTATACTTTAATCTATAGATAATTCCAATACGGTATTTAGTCAATTTTAAAGATCAATGATGCATGATAACCCAATTGACAATTAGGAGCTGGGTGGTCAGTGATTTACATCCGATGTTCGCGAATTCAATTTCCCGCAAGACACAAATATTTTTATTCATAATTGTTTGTATTGGATTGAGTGGTTTCTATGTATAAAATGAATATATACATAATACACGTATACCTAATACATTAACGAAAAAAATATTATTATATTTCTATCACTTGTCTAGTATCCTTAACACTAGGTCTTCTTAGTTTGGGATAAGATGGTCCAGCGTATTATTATTATTCTATAGTAACTTAGAAAAGATAAGTGGATCTTTATTAAGTAACTTAATCTTTTTTAAGTAAGAATAATATAAATATTGTTCGTTATTGTTTCAGTCTAAGTAAATCACCTTTATTTTCAGCAGGTCGCTGTCCAGGTCAGCCCGATCCGCCCGCGAGGACCCACTCAGTGATCCGAGGTTTGAAGCCCTCGACGAGATGGCAGTGTACTTATACGATTACCTAAGCGGGGGTAACGGGTTCGATTTCGACTTATACATGTAGACTGACTTCTCCAATAGCTGGACTAGTATTTAGGTATATAGATTGTAGTTTCTATAAAAGATGTGTCTTGCCTAAATGACGATGCATCGTCTAAAAACATGTTTATATTATTAAATATGTTTAACTTATCATCTCTAGACAGTACAATCTTATTAATCTGGATTTTTTAAATGTTTACAAAGAATGTAGGAAATAATTTATATTTAAAATCCTACAGTCGTACTTTTTCAATATACGTACCACTTGTCATTTTAAATTATTTTTGTTTTTAATGACAATAACAAGTTCTTATTGATCTCCGGATCTATAGATATTTATAAAACATATATTTTTTTTATACAACAATACAGCGAATATTTTCTAGACAAATTAAAGTTCCGAAATATAAAATTTCTTTAAATTAAAGTTCATTTTAATTAAATAAATGCTAGTATTACATAGAATTCGTAATTTTGTATTTAATTTATTATTTTTATTTACTGTATACGTAAATAATGATATGGTATAAAAAATTGCCATTAAAATGCATTTATTAACATTAATTTGCAATTATACAAACAACACATTAATCTGGTTGGACAGAAATTATTTTTTTTTTTCAGTTGGAATTAAATTTTTTTATAGATTTAAATTTATGAATTTATTATAAATCCAAGGTGCTTAATTTTTATGATGATGATCATAATACTTTATAGAAGTAGGACATATGTTTATAAATAATATCATAGAATATCGTTTATAGAAAATCCAGTACTTTAACATTATTTGAAATTTTGAAATTATGAATTGTTTAAATTTATAACAGTGCATATTTAATGATAAGTGATTTAATTAAAATTAAATTTGTCTAATGAACAAACTTGTCTATAATGAAAAGACGACAATTTTAAGAAATGAATTATTCTTTTAAACAAATTCTAAATGATCAAATTTGATACAATGCTCTTCGACAAATTGTGGATTAAAATCCGTCCCTAATATGTAGCACTAACAGAGAAGTAACTTATAACTCTGTTCTAAGCTATGTAGTTAAGTTTTATATATAATAGTATAAAGAACATATAATTCTCAAAATACATTTTAAAAGTACTAAATAACAACTATATGTATAAATACGGGACAATAAATAGTAAACACTGCATCGTAAGATTTCAAAAAAGAAAACTTATTTCATATAAATCATGATTTTACCGTTTTAACGTTTAACCGTGATTCTAAATAGTTGATTAATTGAAATATGGTATTTGGTTAGTAGGTAAATTATCAGGTGGGTTATATCAGGGAGGTTTGCTACGATCATAAATGTTACTATATTAATTTCTTTATTATTAGGTACATGTTTCATTAGCAAATATGTATCTATTTTTAAATTAACACATTTTATTGGACAAGCAACAATAGTAAGCGCATCTGTTTGTTGTTTAAGTATAGCAAAAGAGAAAATATGGTGTTATTCCCACTTGCGAGTTCATTTGACACGAGCAGACATATACTAACATGTCAAACGTAATAATTAACAATAACTAGTTAATACACAATGTCAAGGCAGACAAGGACATGTACACGACATTATCGTATTTTTTTATATTCAATGATTATACACACACATAACAATGTAACTACAGCACTATTTAAAAGCGGCTATGATAGATATGAAAATATTTTTAATTTATTTTATTGATATTTTCATACAGATAAAACGTTTTATTTAAATAGCTAATTAAAATGTCTACTGTTCTACTGCATTCAGTTAAGGTTCATATTTGCATATACGGAAATGTAGTGGAAAAATCTTTGTACCTATATGTTTTACATAGAGTAAAACGCAAATGGCGAAATAATGCATATAAAAATAAAATTTCAAATATGGAACGTCACGCATGGAACATTGGTATTGTTTTGTTTTACATTTTTTCACTTCTTCTGGAACATTCCGCGGCGTCAACTCAGTGTACAGTCAATTTTATCTATTTTTTATTTAATTAATACTTAAACATAATAAGTAATATTCATCCATCAAACATTAAAATATGTTCAAATTATTAGTTAGATAAACCATTAATAATTTTATATTAAGTTTGAACAAAACTTTATGATTTCTGTAGCAAACCAGTGTTCTTGTCAAACAAGCTTATCAGCGTAGCTTTTTGATGACAATACTTATTGGTGTAATTTATAATACAATAGTTGTATGTTACATTTATTACACAGGGAAAGGCAAAGGAATTATGGCTAATGAATAATTAATATAGTTATGTAGTATTATTGAATATTACATGTCCATAGAATAATGGACTCTACGTAATTCTGATGATAAATATCATCAATTTTTCAACAGAATTATCATATCAGTGCAAGCACATTTATAAAAGAATGTTGAAGTAAATGTTGCCTGTTGAGATTAAACTAAACAGTTTGCATTTATGTGTAAGTTAATTAGATTCTGTTATAGTAATAATTAATTCTAAGGTTTTTGTCATAAATAAAATTGACTAAAATGAATTGTTTTTTATTTTCAATAAATTTATTAAATTCTGCATGTCATTCATTTGAGCGAATGGCAGACACATTTCTTTTGCCATTGGCTTAGCAAGTCATAAGTTACTTGCTATAAGGTAAACCTTATGGTAAGAGGTGAGTATCGCTAATATATATACCTAAAAAGAATCACGTTATCATGTGACGTCTGTGATACCACTGTTTGCTGTACCAGAAGAGGAAGATGACGCCTCTTAAGCTATAATTTTACTACCTACAACCAAACAAGCTCAAAAAGCAAGCTGCTGGAGGCTGAGAATGTGAAACTGAGGTTAGACAATTTTCTATGATTTGACAACTATAGTTTTTTCATTTAAAAAAATGCAAAAATGACACCATTCACCGGAGCAATGCAACTACTATTATCACAGATAAGATCATTGTACATACTATTATCTATGGATAGATATATAATATATATAGTAATCTATTTGATTCTTCCCGGGTATCTTTACATAGTATAAAACAAAGTAGCTGCCGCTGTCGCTGTAGCTGTACGCATATATCTTTTAAATTACCTAACAGATTTAATGCAGTTTTTACAATAGATATAGTGATTCAAGAGAAATGTTTATATGTATTATATAGATGCGTATTACAGTATAGAACAAACTGAGAAATTCCAATATTTGTAATGTATCCGTGCGAAGTCGTAACGGGTCGCTAGTAGACATATATTATTTTAATAATATCAATAAAAATGCAGATATCCTTTTTACCCGATTGTCAAAAAGAGATAATTTTCTCGGATTACAATGAACTATTTTCAGCATCAAGGATTGTAGAATCCTATTTTTTGTACTGACTAACTTGAAGTCATTGTTACTTTTTGTTTGTAGATACATAAAAAATGTACTCACCTATCTAAATACGCAATTGAATTTTGAATTTTTAAATAATAATACATTGCTAATACATTCAAAGTCTTCTAACCAGATGTTTACGACATACGAACAAAAGATTGAGCTGTCATTTAAAAAAAATGGTGAAACATGAAATTATTGTATAAATATTATATAATACTAAAGGTCGCGCGTGCGGCCCGAGCCCTAAAGGTGAGTGTCGATCAAAGTGACACGGTTCATTTTCTTGTCGTCGGCCGGGGTTCGTGGTTGATATGAAATTGTTTTTATGAAAAAATAAACGATTCTTGCATAATAAAGCGGAGTTGGTAGCTTTGGCCTATTCTGAGCCATTTCATTAATATTCTTCCTTCATTATATATTGTGCACCGACGATCTTGTCGAGATCGCTGGAAGTCGATGGATGCCAGCAGCGCAGGACCGATCGTCGTGGAGATCTTTGTGGGAGACCTATGTCCAGCAGTGGACGTCTTTCAGGCTGAGATGATGATGATGATTATATATTTTCTTTATAGCATAGGAAAGAAACGAGTTTGTGGCTCACCTGATGGTTTGTGATTACCGTCTATGACCACCCCCGCAGGAGAATTGCAAGTGCGTTACCGGCTTTCTAAAAAAGATTTGCTTAAAATAATCGTTTCTTTTTGCAGCTTACTGAAACTATGCGAGAACTAAACGTTAGAACTAAATGTCGTATGTGAATAAATATTTTTTGACAATATAAGATAACGAATACTATCTTACCTGCTTCAAAGTAAATATTACTAAATTTAGAGTACCTTCGTTTTTGTTTACTATTCCGTTATTTGGCACTGTGTAGGTACCAGAACTATTGTAGAGATCTTATTGTTCACTACTAAATTAGTAATTCAAACTATTCATTCGACATCTGTAGGCTTCCCTATGACAGAATAATGGTATTTAGGTAAACAGCAAAACAATAAAAAAAATGTAATTAATATTTTTTGACAGCATATTCATAAATGAATAAATTAGTCGTTTGAATAAAGTTACCTGTCACGACATACCTTGTCATATGTCTATTTCATTTAGGTATGTAATACTGGATGCGAATACACATTAATGATAGACAGTTCATAATCGTAAAACCGGTATACGTCAGTACTTATATATAACTAAATTTAAAAAGGTAATTTGACATTGATTGGCATTAAGAAATAAACAATACACAAACGTAAAATAAATAATCATAGACAAATGAATATGTAAAATGTACTCACCTTAGCATTAGAAAAAAATTATATACGTGTTGTTTCTTTCATGTGAAAGAAACAACACGTATATAATTGTTTATATTGATTTGCGGTAGGTACCTATATTATTAAAAATCTTGTTGTATGTGTACATTAGTTAGTAAATAAGTAATTAGGTACTATTTTAACAGCTCTAGTATTTTCTCTGATACCTACTGAATTATAACAGCAAGCGTTATTTTGTTCCAGATTATTTTTATTTTGAAACATGCTGATGGACTACCTGATAAAAAGTGACGATCAAGATGTCATATACTGTTTCTTACCGTATCTCTTTAAACTATGACACATATAAGTATTAACTAATGACTAGATGACGTGTGAGAATTGTCCACGGTTGTTATTTTCTTTATATATTCATTACTAGTTGTGCCCGCCACTTCGTCTGCGTGTTATAGTGACCTAGATCAAATAAACAAAATATATTAAATAATCTAAACCAAATAAAATTTCACCGTTCTAGCTTCAAAAATGACGATTTTCCATACAACCTTTCATCCCCTATTCTCTTTATTTATATTGAAACTACAGCCTATTATATAAGTTTCAACTTTCTAGTTTTTAAATAAAAACTTTAATATGCCCTTTCAACCCTTATTGCACATTATAAAGTAGCTTATATACTTTCTTATGGTCTGGACTATCTGTCTACTAAATTCCATTTAAATTGGTTCAGTATATTTGGCGTGAAAG